GCCATCAAAAAGTTTAACAAAACTAACTAAAAATGTCGGCCATATTATAATTAACGAAACTTAATATTTCGCAAAAAACAAAGCAAATAATAATTGCTTTATTTTGTCATAATTATTGTTATTTAGGCTTTGAATTACAAATAATAGAAATTTTCGTATATCATAGCAATTGACTACAATGCTCGCCATTCAGAGTATTTTTCTACATAATAAAACTTATAAATTATAAGTCAAGTACTTTTATAAACCATTAATTCATTATATAATATACAACAGAAAATATTAATAAGTAATGAAACAATTGAGTTATTTATACATAATTAAAAGTATTGCCATTAAATGTTGGTATTTTATGGTTGTTGCGAAATCAATTCAATGTTTTATACATTATAATAATACAATATTACAATTGCACCCATTTTTACCAAATATCATTACTTTGATAAGAGCTACTATTATGAACCACTAATTAGGTCTATAGAATGTTTATGGTAGAAATCTCTCTACAACAAATAATAATAATAATTTAATTTTTATAAATCATACTCGTTGATTAAAATACATAATTTGTCAAAAATGGGTAAAAATATTTGTTAAAATCACAATTAGTTTATAGAACTATTGAATAAATATTGTTTACAATTAATAATAAATTATTTATTATTATTGTCAGTAAGTTATGTAAAGTTGTAAAATTTGTGAAACTTTACAAAATTGTGAATTATATGTATTCACAAATTATTTTATAGTTGAATTGAATATTTGAAGATAATATTGTTAATTGTAATAATTATATTACATAATTAAAAATCTTAAAAACAAAAATAATATCCTTTAATAAACAGAATATTCTGCATCAAAATATATACATTTTGATAATTCAATATATTGTTATATTGAATATTGTTCTAAAATATTGTTAAAGAATATAAAATTCAAACGCGTTATGTGTTAGAAAACTAACACTTATTTGAAAAATGGCAAAAATAAAATTTATTTGAAATAATATCTTTAGATTATTTATAGAAATATTCTAAAAATTCTCAGAATTGAAAGAAAAATTAGTTTAGTTTAGATATATTGTGATCAAAAATAGTAATAAACATATTTATATTGAGAAATGATTGCATTGTTTTCGACTGCAAAGGGTGTGTTTGAAAGACAATGTTGTCATCAAATAATTGTTATAAAGTTGCGACCTTTCAAACAGTGTGTGGGAGGGATGTAATGACCAACACATCATACGTGTGCGGCTCTACTGGCCATTGATTATAATATATTGTCGACTGTTATGGGAAATGGGTTTAAAATATACTCAAACCAAAAATTTAATAACATTTTATTGTTTCTGACAATACTGTGTAAGTCATGGAAAATATTCAATACATTAAGCGCTTAATGCATTGCATAAGAATTCTGTTTATTTTCTTTGTTGACTACAAACTAAATCAATTCTGTGTTAGAAATTAACCTAGCACAAGTGGACACGTGGAATACAGTCTATTTCATTTATGACTTACTGAAAAATACAGGCAAAATATTATTGAATTATTCAATGTAAAAGTTATAATTGTATTTTAATTGCATCAATTACTATATTTGCTGTAAGTGTTATTATAACAACATTATTATTATTTAATGTAAACAAATAGTTATCTTAACATTGAATGAGATTTATAGTTACATTCATAATATTATATAATGGAAATTTTATAGTCATTTATAAATAGCAATATATAACTTATGCTTTACACTAAATATTATTTTGCCTAAAATAACATCATGATCTACATTTATTTGGCTAATTTAGTTCCTATACAATAGTATGGAAATAACAAACATGTAAATACACAGAATATACTATACAATTAATTTAATAATAATAATGTGATTTGCATTTATATTATTTGTATAGATAATTCAAATTCTTTCGATTCTGTCGACTATAATATTAGTGGCGAATCATTTTTTTTATTAAGTCACCGATAGATATATTTTATTCAAACTTTTACTTTTACGAATGACAAAAATGTAGTAACCTAGTTGTGGAAATTTTGTATAACTACTAATATTATAATTATATATTACAGTATTACTTATTTAATTAAAAAACAACAGAAAGCTTTAATAATTTATACCAATAATTGCAATCCTCGACGAAATGAAATGAAAATAAATTAACATTTTATTGCAAGAATACTACAAATAGTTTTAATAAATAAAAACAATATAATAATAAATGATTGACACAATACACTTGTACTTGTATCTCCACTACTATATAATGTCCCAAACATTTGTTTCAATTTATTCATTAATTACTAATGATTTAACGTATAGTTCTTTTGATAAGAAATGCTTACGAATTGTCACTTCATTTGTCAATTGATTAACAATTTCTTATCGAAACAACTCTTACAGTACTTATGGATCTCGTCTTATAAATCGATAGATTTTATTGATTTTGCTATTTTTTGGGTTAAAGTTAATAATCGTTTGTTTCCAAATCCTTTCTCAGTTCGCGTGTTATGTCTATATTTAACATAACATTAGTTAGTATTACATAATACTATAAAAAATATAACCTTTGTGTGACACAAATGTCTTTAATAATGTCCGACATTCAAAACGCATGGAATATGTTACAAGAAAGCGATTGAATTAATTGTAAAGTTTATTAGCAAATATGTACTTATTCTTAATTCATTTAAACATTAAACCCGGTACTAATCGTCATAATTAAATGTTTATTTTTCCCTAACAAGATATTTTGTAAGAGGCTTTCGTGACATTTCTAGAATTTCTATTAGAAAGAAAGAAAGAAAGAAAGAAAGAAAGAGAGAGAGAGAGAGAACCAATAAATGTCAGGTTTAATTGTGAAACAAGTCACTCAAATGAAATAAATATTTCGAGAGAAAAAAGAGTATAAAAATACATAAAGTATATATTTGTAATAACTTTTGAAAAATAGCACAAAAAATAAGAAAAAGAAAAATAGTATAAGAATTTACCAGAAATATACATTAAAAAGTATAAACAAAAGTTTCATTAATGTATAGCCTCTCAATGGAAATGAAAATATTATGTTTCACATCAATAAGTATTCAAATCAATGAATATTTTTTGTGTTAAGAATTTGAAGAATCCATTGAATTGGAGAACAAGAATAAAGAGCTCTCTATTGAAGCCGTTTTGCAATGACATTGAGTGATGTCTACAGTGTATTGATTGTATGCTTAGACCTTGTCAGCAGAACTAGGGCTTCGAGAGAGAGAGAGAGAGAGAGAGAGAGGGCCGGGAGTTTGAAACA